AAAAAAAAAAAAACAACCGATGAAAAAAAAAGAATAAAAGAAAGAAAAGGAGCAAAGCCCCGCCAGGAGAAAAGGGCTGCTTGGCGGCGGCGAGGAAGCTTCCCTTTATCCCTGCTCTCCCTGGGCTCCGGAGCGGGTGCCGGAGCTCCGGCGGGCTGCGGGGCTGCGGCCGCCCGCCCCGCTCCGCTCCGCTCCCCCCGCGCCGCCCCGCGCCGGGCCGGGGGAGGGCGAAGGGAAGGCGGAGGGAAAACACCCCCTTCCCCTGATGGGGCCGGAGTCGGTGCTCGCACACTCGCACAACACACACACACACACACCCGCATCCCCTTCCCCGCTGAGAAAGGGTGCGCCGAGGGGCGGCTTTTTGCTCCCCCGCTGGATTTTTCCTTTCTCTGTCTTTTATTTTGTCTTTTTGGTCTGGTTCCCCCCCCTCCCCCCTCCTTTCCCTGCAAGGGGCGGCGATTTGGTTAAGCAGATCTGGGGGGCTGATGTCTCTCTCTTTCCTCTGTTTCCATCGCTCCCGGAGTATTGCAGCACTGGGGGCGGGGGGAGGAGGAGAAGTGTGGGGAATAAATGGTAATGATCAGGCACGCACACACACACACACACGCACACACACACACACACACACACATACACACCCGCTCTCACACACACTCACACACGCAGACACGCACTCGGCGTGGCTGCAATGCTCAGCTCCGGGTTAATGTACTCAACAGTGCCACTACCTGACACAACTGCAGCACTGATGGGGGCAGGGGAGAAAAGGCAGAGGAGGTGAGATTCAGGGCAGGGCCATTTATCCCATTTATCCCACTTCAAGCTCAGTCTCTCCCACGCCCTCCCAGCCGCCCCCCGCCAGCCCCCCATATGCTTTTGGCGGCGGGCTCGTGACCCGTGTGAGGCATTTTTGGGGGACAGTTACTGCTGTTCAGGCCACGCTGAGAATTCCCTCTCTGGGGCTGGACGAGATAAGCAAGGACTCTTGACCCCTAATTTAAGGTCTAAATCCACTCCCCCACCTCCATCACCTTTCAGAATGGACCAGTAGCAATGTACAAAATACAACACAAACTCAGCTGCAGGCCAGTGGGGAGCGGTGCGAAATCCACATTGTTGGGCTTTTTCTTTCCCACCCTTGCTCTGCCAGCAATCTGGATGATACTGCATTTTGGTCTGCCAGCTGGGCATACCTTTACTCACATGAGTAAATTGTTGGCTTGCCTGAGATGATGAGGAGGAACCCCCAGAGGAGGAAAGACTTGTGAAATGGAGCTGTGGAACTGTACTTATAAATGAAGATAACATTCCAAGGGCAGGAGGGGGAATATAGGGAGTATCCTACTGTGTTCCGCTGCATGTTTGATCCCTTGCAAAGATGGTGCCACAGGGTTCCCTGTCCCAGTGTGCTGCAGGAGGCTCAAAGAACATCAAGTCTCCCCTCTTTGCTCTGGGACAGAGGGTGGCTTCAGGCCATCATCCTGAGTGACCTGAATTCAGTGTGCAGCTGATGCAAGGGTTGACCCTTACCTGCCATGGAAGCTTATTCATACATCATAGAATCTTAGAATTTTTTGCCTTGGAAGGGATGTTAAAGATCTTGTCCCACCCTGTGCCATGGTCCGGGATACCTTCCACCACCCCAGGCTTCTCCAAACTCCCATCCCACTTGGATTTGGGCACTTCCAGGGATGGGGTAGCCACAGCTTCTCTGTGGCCAACAGCCAGGGCCTCGCAGCCAAGAATTTCTTCCTAGTATTCAATCTAAACCTGCCCTCTTTCAGTCTGAAGCCATTCCCCACTCCAGTCCCTTGTAAAAGTTCTTTTCTAGCTCTCTTGGAGCACCTTTAGGCCCTAGAAGGGGTTCCCTTATAAAGGCCTTCTCTTCTTCAGACTTGAAAGCTGCATCTCTCTCACCCTGTCCCTTTAGGAGAAGCAACAGACCTACAACACAGGTTGCAGTCTAACCCCAAATAGGTGGAAGAAATTTGTGGGCCCCAAGATGCCAGCACAGCCCTCCTGGACCATCAGCAGACTCAGTCACCTGGGTGAGTATGTGCCCTCAGCCCTGCTGCATTCCTGGGAAAAAATCTTAAGTAAAAACCACACCAAAGCATCACTTCCCTTTGGATCTCTCCATGTGGCTGACATCCTCCAAGATACGTACAAATCCCAAACATCTGAGCTGAGGTACAGCAGCCTGTGCCTGTCCTTCCCTCATGGTCTTTTCCTCATGCTTCTCTCCAATAGGAGAAAACAGATGAATTGGTAAAATACACAAGAAACCTCCAAAATGACGACCAACAGATCAACCCCATCTCCATCCCAAACAAACATGCGACTCACAACTCTTGGATCAGGAATGTCACACTGAAATCGTTGGCATTTCTGATTGAAACCAAACAGGGATTGTCATTTCCAATCCGCTCTTTGACATGGAAGAGAGGCTTGTTTGTTCAAATTAAATCACCCAACTGGAGCTACATTTTGTCATTTTGTATCTAAACAAAAGGAAAAAGAAACAGATTCAACATTTCTTGGCAGAGCTGGTGGTGACATTTCCTGTGAAGAATTCTGGTTTTGAAATGAAAACTTTTGGCAGGTGAACTCTGTATCAAAGAGCTCCGCTGACCATCATCTTTCTCCTTGGAATAAGCTGACAAACAGTTATGAAATAATTGGCATGATTAGATTAACACAGAAAACCTAATTATGGAATCAAATACTCAAAAAAAAAAAAAAAAAAAAAAAGAGAGAGAGAGAAAGGGAAAAAAATTATCACATTTGCTTCCCCTTTTCTAGAAAATAATATTTTTATTATATACAGTAAATTTAGGATAAAAAGTATTCTGTGAGCCTTTTCTCTTTTTATTTTTAATTTATTTAATTCTGGAGAGGATACATATACATAAACAAATGTATTTAAACAGCCCCACAAAAAATAATTTCAAAGTGAGTTCAACTTAGGAAGCAATAGAGATAATGGCTTATTTAATGCTCACTTTGAAAACATGGCAGAATATAAAGAAATAAAAAATACTCAGACCTAGCAAAGGGAGTTTGTGATTCACCCAAAGTTATTTTTAGGCCTGTTATGTATAAATTTAAAAACAAAATCACACCTGGTTACTTTTACTTGTGGGCATCAAATTCTGTCAGGATAAATTTCATAAACAGAAAAAGACCCATCCTTTTGAGTGGTCATTGTGTAGGACACGTGTGCATAAATCACTGTGGATCAGCACTGACATCAAAGGTATTCTGACCTGTGATTTTGTCTTCTAGTTCTAGAAAATTTTCCCTCTTTTAAACAACCTCCTCCCTCTGTCTCTGCTGTGTGTCAAGGATTTCAATCTAAGTGGATAATCTCAAAGAGGAAGTTTCTCCTCTTTGTTCTTTTAACTTTAAAAAAAGTATGATGGCATTCATAAAGTTGGTTTAGTTCTGCAGCAGACCTGAGATGAGTTTCCTATTTGTGCCTAACAGTCTACATATAACCTTGACTTCATGAGACAGATGTTTTGTAGTGAAGGACATGAGTTTCTTATTTTTATATAAATAGCATATTAAGTTAGATATCTATATGACTCTCCTTAAGTTCAAGGTATAAATTAAACCTATGCAGAATTATTGGGTGATTTGTAAGTCAATGTAAAAGATACAAAAAAATTATCTTGAGAGGTCCCCAGTGAAGCAGGGGTACCTTTATAGGATAGAAAAATACAATCAGATTATCAAAAGTATATATTTACTATTAAAATTGCTTAAAACAGATACTTTCCTTGTGTGCTCTGGCTCATCAGATATCTAGCACATTTCTGAGATTTATGTAGAAGACTATCTATCTCTATCTATCTATCTATCTATCTATCTATCTATCTATCTATCTTATGATCATTTATCTGTTTATATGTGCATACATATTTCAAAATTTCAGATACAAAGTTTCCAACTGCTTGTATCCCACTACAATTATATTGCAAGACAAGTGAAAAGAGGGGGTAAATATGAACATATTTCAACCCTGTCTATTTTTTTTTTTTTTTCCCATCAAAAAATTTTAATTCAACTGTTTGGACAACTTAGAAATAACAGTGATTTTCAAAGTTACCCTTTTATTTTATAAATATTTCCAACATCTGGTGTTAAGTTTCAACATTGTTGTGTGAACAATGACAGGCAAAAATCAAAATTCAGGGCTAAGGGGTTGGAAACCAAGTGCAAAACTAAATTTGGAAGATAGAGCTCCCCTATTTTGCTTGATTCTCCATGGTTTGAGGGCATTTATACCCACATTATTCCCACCCCAAACCATTTCCCTTGAAAATTATTTTGATAACTCAGAACTGACACCCCTGTCTCAGCATCTTCATGATGCTGACAAAGGCTGTGTTGTGTCAGTTACTGTCCAAAAACAAGAGGATTTTGCCTCCAATTCCTCAACCAGGACAATTGGGAGAAAATTTTTGTAGCTTAACAACTCGGGAGATGACCACATGGGAGGCTCAGGCTCAAACCCAGGCTTTCTTATCTATCTGATCTTTCCACATCCTTCTCTACCCCTGTGGAGGTAGTGTCTAAACATTTCTCTGTGCTCAAAAGTTGTAATGCTCAGTGATGCAGTACTTGCTGGCACACCAGCAGAGCACCAGGCCCTGCCCTTTGCTCAGGCTGCTCAGACACTCGTGTCCTTTTGAAATGCTCTGAATATTTTCTCTTTCAACATGCATCAGTTTGCCATTGCTCTATTGTGTGTTGATGTTTCTCAGTCTTCCCCAAGCAAATGAGTGACTCTGATCTTATAATTGCATTAAATTCTTTCCCTCATAAAACAAATCTTCAAAGAAACTAATTACTAATAAGCATCAAAACCCATCCTGTATTCTCATGTGCACTATTGCCTTATGATGGTGTGGATTTCCATTATAGTTTTCATACAGATTACAGTTTTGCATCTATATGTACGTATAGCCTTCAGCATACGTACTTATGTATATCTAAGGTTTATAAACTGCCATAGGAGCAGCAACATGAATAAGAAGCACAAAACATCAGCCGAAATGAAACATCAGTCAATGAAGCACAGGACAGGCAGGAAGTAACTGAAAGCTGTATAATTTAGGATAGGGAGTGACTGGAAATACTGGCTATATTTGAGAATTTTGGCCATGAAGAATGGCTTAATCTAGATGGGGAAGCCATAAAAGGAATTGTTAACTAGAAGTTGAATTCAGAGAAAATATTATATTGAAATGAAGACGTACAAGGTTCATAGCAATTAATCACTTCAGAAGCTTAATAGGAGGATAGGTAAAAAAATCACCATCTCATGACATTTTCAGCTTGGAGAGTGGATGGCTTCTGAGAAGATATGTTTTAGCCAAGCAAAAGTAATTGGGTTCAGGACAAGAGCAGACATGAAATGAGTTAAGAACTGCCTAACTGACAGATCTCTGAAAGCAATTGTCAATGCAGAATTATGGCCAAAGAAGAGTGCTACTAGGGTTTCCTCTTACGGTATTCATCAGTGATCTGGAAGTAAATATAAAACTGCTCCTGATGACATTTGTAGATGACATTATAGTCACTGAAACAGCAAAGAATAAGAGTGCAGGATGACCTGATGCAGAAAAAACTGCCTGGCTTGAGCAAACAAATGTGTTTTATTGTACTAAGGTGCTTCTTACAAGCCCAGAAAAAAAAATCTGGACAAGCCTGGCACTGACAGCTTTGAGTTGGACTCTCAAATCTGAAAGTGCTGGTGTGAATCTTGGGTTGAATTTTAGAGGCTGTCCAAGGATCTCACAGACACATTTTAAGACATGTGGTGACAAAACTGGTGAGGGTATAGAAAAGAGCAATAAAAACAAATACTTGGGGAAAATGGAAAAAAAAAAATACTTGAGGACAAGGGTTGAAGAACTGTGCTTAGCCATCAGAAATATATTAGATTGCAGATGGAATGAGGTTTGTAAGTGAGAAAATTAAATTCTATTAAGGAACTGGACATAGGTTCCTAAACTCTCAAGGAAGAGGGCTGGGGCCATTCTTCTCTTCAGCATTTCCCAAGGAGCAGTTTAATTGACTCCTATCCACTGTAAATTCAAATAATTTCTAACTCTATTGCTGCAATTGGAAGACCTTGCTCAAACATTTGGGGTCCACTTTGGGGCTGAGGGTTACATTGCCCAGGTGCAATTCTGGATTTGATCTGAGATTTCTTTCTGGAAATAAAGTTTAACTGAATAAAATAGAACTATGCTTTAGCCTAAGCCAAGCTGAATCCCTGATCATTCTGACAGTCTGGATACAGCATAGATGGCCTGCATGGTCCTTTCTGGGTTGGCAGCCTGGGAAATTACTTTGCAAAAGAATTGTGTAAAAGTCTCTTGAACTTTGCCTGACAACAAGGTGCATAGAGTGCATTTCTCTTGGGAGCTGCCATCTAGCAGCAAGCAAAATCTTACTACTTCAAGGTGAAAGTAGCCATCCAGTGACTGAAGAAACACTGCCATAAGAATAGGTGAAATCATGACTTTCAAGAAACTGTTGAACCCCTGAAACCAGAGGGTTTTGCTTTGGCTCTGAAAATTGGCTCAGAAATTTGGGTCAGAAAATTTCTCCAACCAAGATGGATTTCTTGGTATAGAAAGGGACACAGCCTTACCTTCATGGTTAGATCTCACTGGTGATGTGTGATTTCATTTGCAATCTGTTAAATCTGAGCAGATACCCAAACCTTGTCTTCCAGGCCACTGCTCCAAGAATGACACAGCTGGGTGTTCTTGCGTGGGTCTGCTACTGTATTTTATTAGGCTGTTCTTTTAGGCATGGTTAACATTAATTAAATCAGAAATTAATGATTTATCTTGTCCTAGTATGTTTTCAGTCCCATGAAGAGACCAACAATTTTTGTTTCTCAAGAAATAACGCAGAATGGCCTTAGTTTTATTAAAATATATGTACCTCATCCTCCCTAAAAATAACCTCCAACAAAGCCCACACCAACAATATTCAAAGAATAAGAAAATATCTGCTATCTTTGTCTGTATGACTTTCTTGGGCCAGTCACAGGGCAGGAGACACAGACCACAAGATAAAATCAGCAATAAGAGGGTGAGCTGATGTTGGTCTCAAAAATTACTTGGAGGAAAAGAAAAGAAAGAACATGTTCATGTGCTATTAGTAATGTGTAAAGTCCTTCCGATGGCAATGGATAATATCCATATGGATAGCCATCCACAGATAATATACACATGGAGAATAACCTGTTCTCAATACCTCTGCACCTTCTTTATCTAAAATTTAAATTGCCTTTCCTTCCCTCCCAGGGCTTTGCAAAACTTGACACATAGATGCTTTTTATGCTTAAATTATTTATCATTGTTGTGGGACATCTGAAACTTTTGAAGATGGAAACATGAGGAACAAGGTGGATCTCATTTCAGAGTGGAGCTCCATCTGAACAGCAGTTTGCAA